TGGGGAGGGTATATGCTATGGTGAGCGCCATGAATTGTCTTAAGACTGATGAATCACAGACCTGTACCTCTGAAACAAATAATGCATCATACGTTAAAAAAAAAAAAAGATAGTAGGAAGGGTAAAATGAAGGGGGGGAAATCGGAGGGCAAGATGAACCATGAGAGACTATGGATTCTGAGAAACAAACAGAGGGTTCTAGAGGGGAGGGGGCTGGGGGGATGGGTTAGCCTGGTGATGGGTATTAAACAGGGCACATAGTGAATGGAGCACTGGGTGTTATACGCAAACAATGAATCATGGAACACTACATCAAAAACTAATGATGTAATGTATGGTGATTAACATAACAATAAATAAAATAAAATAAAATAAAATAAACCAATATTGGGTTACCTAACTCCTCCACCAGGGGAAGAAATCCTTAACTGCAAGAACCATGTCCTTCATGATATTTAATGATAGCTAGCACATGGGAGGCTCCCCCAAGTGCTGGTGACCCAAAGAGGAATAAAATACAATTCCTGCCCTTGAGAAGTATAGTCTAGTCTAGAAGGCAGTTAAACAAATAAACTAGAATACAATGTAAGTGCTACGATAGATGTATGATCAGAATTCTGTACAAAGCATCTTCCATTCCTACAGTTCCATCATCTTATACACAGCACTACTCACGTTGCTGAATTTTTGCTTGACTGTCTCCCAGAACAGTGTAAGCCCAGGATAAGGATTGGGAAAGTGGAGGGGAGGGGGAGACACAGACTGTGTTCTATTTATCTTTGAATCCTCAGTGCCTGACATAGAAGCTGGCATATAAGGGTGCTGTATATATTGAATATATGGAGTAATTAAGCATACCCTTCCTGAGGGGTGGGAGGTGACCAAAGAAAGCTAAAATGAGGAAACTGACATTATCACTGAACTTGAAAGTCATCACCCAGAATGAAAGGGAGACAAATGGCTGAGCAAAGGCATCAAGAGGCAGAGCAGTTGGGGGAGGGGAGAGGCTGGACAAGCACAGCTGATTTTAAAAAGATGAACAAAGGGGGCGCCTGGGTGGATCAGTCTGTTAAGCGTCTGCCTTCGGCTCAGGTCATGATCGTGCCCCGTATCGTGCTCCCTGCTTGGCGGGGAGTCTGCTTCTCCCTCTCCCTCTGCCTGCCACTCTGCCTACTTGTGCTCTCTCTCTGTCAAATAAATAAATAAAATCTTTTTAAAAAAAATGCACGAAGTAGGGGCGCCTGGGTGGCTCAGTTGGTTAAGCGACTGCCTTCAGCTCAGGTCATGATCCTGGAGCCCCGGGATCGAGTCCCGCATCGGGCTCCCTGCTCGGCAGGGAGCCTGCTTCTCCCTCTGACCCTCCCCCGTCTCATGTGCTCTCTGTCTCTCTCATTCTCTCGGTCTCAAATAAATAAATAAAATCTTAAAAAAAAAAAAAAATGCACAAAGTAAATTCAAAGCCTGAGTATATTCTACCACTTCACTCCGTCCTCTCAGGGATCCTTGGATATCCTAGGAGACTCACAATGAAGAGGTACTTATCCTAGGTCCCCTATCTACCTATAAAATACACTGAAAAATTCTGACCTGGTAAGGACAGCTATAAATCCTCACGCATCACATAACTCAGAGGTAGTTGGTCCCAAGAATCATATACAAAACTCAGCACTAAGGCTTCTTCATTTTTCATTCACTTACAAACTAGGTAATAGCATGCCCAAAATTCAAATAGAATTGAGGATAAAACCATAGCCATCATTCCGCATAGTCTTGACTCAAATATGCCAGAGCAATTTATTTTGGGAATGTAAACTGTAATTTTTTTAGTAGGGTTCAATAAAAGAAGCTGTAGAAAACATGTCTCAGGAAAAAAAAAAAAAAAAGGCTCAGTAATTTGGGCCTAGAATGGAACTGTACAGCTAACAATGATTCTGTGAAATATTTTATGTAACAGAACCCATGCTCTTTACCTGATAAGAGTTACAGTGAACTTCAGGCTTCATTCTAAACCAAACTCTTAAATGTGCATAAAAGGCAGAGAATGAAGTCAAAATGAAAATATTGTATTTGTTTGTATTTTTAATTTATGAAAACTTGTCAAAAGGAGATCACACACACACACACCCCCAACACATTCCCAGTAAGCTGGACTTTCATGCTCCTCTCATCACTACTGTACATTTGGCCTGTTTTAACGAACAAGCCAGAACCAAGCCACCATAAACTCTCAGAGGAAAGCCCCTAGATCTGCCATGCGTAGAAGACAGAACTGCACCACCGAGGCTCCATGCCCTTGGTGTCTATGGATGTTGCACGATTTTGCCCCATAAAAGGAAAAAAAGATAAATCCTGCTCATGTTTTTTTTTTTTTTAAAGATTTTTATTTATTTATTTGACAGTGAGAGACACAGCAAGAGAGGGAACACAAGCAGGGGGAGTGGGAGAGGGAGAAGCAGGCTTCCCGCCGAGCAGGGAGCCGGATGCGGGGCTCAATTCCAGGCCCCTGGGATCATGACCTGAGCCAAAGGGAGACGCTTAATGACTGAGCCACCCAGGCACCCCCCTGCTCATGTTGAGAATCAGAAAATCTGTTCTGTGTTGTCTGAAACTTCTGAACTAAGGGACCTTGACGAGAATATTCTTTGCATTAAATGGTGATGTGTGATTTTACAGCCTATAATAAATACACACTCATCAAGAACACCGGGTGAAAAGGGAAGAAATTATGAATTGGGAATCGAGAAATACACTAAATATGGTGGAAAATGTCAAGAGACAGAAGCAATATGAAGGGTAAAATCCCAGTCCCAAGAAAGAAGTATAAGGTTTCAGTAAAATTCTGGTAACATTCTATTGTGTTTCTGTGGTGTACAAAGTCTACCAGGATGAAAAGCTGACCAGGTTATAATGCTTTCCACATCAAAATTCAAATATATCTATATGGGAAATGTTCCATAATGTCAAGTCTCGTGATATAATAGGTCAGTAAGCAAACAAACTTTACAAAAATTTGACAGTAATATTTGCAGAAAAATATTTTAGCCCAATTGATATTTACTCTGCGTAGGGCTAGAAAAAAGAAAAAGCTTACAACTTCTTATATTCTTCTTAACTTATAAACCTATCTATTATGAGAAGGGTTACTATATCAAATTCATGCCATGTTATTTGCATTATTAGTGAAAATATTTACAAATAGGATACCAACATCAAACTTTGTAATATTATCCTTTTAAAATTCAAAAAAAAATTTTTTTAAAGATTTTATTTATTTGACAGAGAGACACAGTGAGAGAGGGAACACAAGCAGGGGAGTGGGAGAGGGAGAAGCAGGCTCTCTGCTGAGCAGGGAGCCCGATGCGGGGCTCGATGCGGGGCTCGATCCCAGGACTCTGGGATCATGACTTGAGCCAAAGGCAGATGCTTAACCGACTGAGCCACCCAGGTGCCCCTTAAAATTCAAACTTATTATGGCTTTAAGGAAATGCGTGACAAGGCATCCAAGTTCTTTCTAAACTACAACAATTTTTTTAAATTGTTCTTTTCAAAGAATGTTGTAAACACTTTAGTTTTCAATATAAAAAGATAATTGAGATGCACAATTCATGACTTATATTCTTGCAGAATGAAGAGGGAATGATGTTGAATCAAACTCGCAAACCCAAATATCTGGGTAACCAAGTCAAATACTTTAAAGCTGATATGTGTGTGTCTGTCTCTGTGTATCTGTGTATATTATAAATTTTAACTACTACAGGAGCACCCCAAATTCATCTGAAAGCTGCCTGTCTAAACTCTTCAAATTCAACAGTTCCATCATTTCTTCCCCATTATAAAACCAGAAGATTTAAACACACCAGAAGTGCAGAACCAGTATGACCATTTCTCTCATTAGAAGAGATTGGTCCAGATTGGCTAGATCTAAAACTAATGGTTAAGTGGAGTCTGGCTTCCTCCCAAACCAGCTACAATGAATTCCTATGATCACTGTTTTGGACAGACAGGCCCTGAGGGGTTCGCTCTGGAAAACAGAAACATGAGGTCATTTCCAAACCCACTGCATCAGGACAGACTTTAGAAAGTCCTCTTGAAGACACACCTAGTTTTACGCTTCATGCAGCTCAAAGATGGCTCTAGTCTACCATAGCTCTAAATCTAAAGAAAATTAGAAAAGGAGTTTCCAGGAAACATTTTAAGACCCTACCGAAGGTTGGATTTTAATCTTTGACCAAAAAAAAGTCGAACATTTATTTCTCATTCCTTATTCTGTGAAAAGGTTTCTGAAGACCAACTTTAGCTTCTGTCCAACCTAGGTCCTCAATGCTTGGCACATTGAGAAGGTATAATTATGTCAGAAGGTATAATTATTTCAATTCTGTTCCTGAGGAACCAGTGGGGTTTGTTTTCCTCTGGATGTGCTGTTTCCCCAGAATGTGTAACATTTCCTTTGACCTTCACAACAGTCCTCTGAGATGGGATAGACAAACCCTCTCCATTTTACTGATGAGTTTACTGGCAGGTGATCTGCCAGGTGGCTTGGTATAAGCAAAGCTATAATGCCAGAACCAAATGCTCAAGTCCAGAACTCCATATTTTTTACGAAAAATACCAAAAAGAGGTGTGACTACTAATTGACTAATGAATCTATTTGAACATATGGAGGACATAATCCACACATGGGTAATTCCCCTTTGAGCTTGGCCACAACACCCATCTAGACCAAAATTGAGAGTTCACTTGCAAATGATGGCTACAAATTTGCCCTTCATATGTTTTAGACACCAAACACCTAATTGGCCCTCGCTAAGAAACTACTTTCCTGCTGGGCAAGAGAAAAGAACTTAAAAATCCACAGCTGCCATGAGAATGACTTAAAAGGGAAAGCTGATAGAATCATATAAGCCCAGGGGAAAAAAAGGAATTTCCAAGGAAGTTATAAGGAAATGTATAGAATACTTGTGTTATCTTTAAGATTTTAAACATCAGAAATGAAACCAGCCGTATATTCATGTTTTCCTATGAACAAATGTAAATTACTATTTTATAAATGTAAATGACTATACTATTTAAACAAGAAGCTTGTGATTAAAGAGATTTATATTATGCTTAGTTCCTCTTTGTGATTATTGCTTTAAATCTAGCAAAAGAGATTCATCATTCTCCACTCTCACCTGGGGTTTAAAAGTAACTTTTAAAGGCTCAGGGGTGGGGATCTCTCCTCCTTCTATGGGAGGATACACCGCCCTGGCCTCCTCGTGGTCTGTTTCACTGAGCTCATCAGTGTAGAGCTCACTGATGGGGCCCAGAGACTTGCTCCTGGCAATGATGTCCACACCCATCTCCCTGACCTCCTCTGCATCTTCGGCCATAGTTTGGTCTTTAGCTTTCCGAAGGCTACGCATCTTAAAAGCTTCCCTTGAAGGAGCTGCATTAGAAATGGATTTCTTAAACCTTTCCCCTGACTGTTTCAGCCTCTCTCCCGACTGCCTTAACCTTTCTCCTGACTGCCTTAGCCTTTCTCTCCTCTCTGGGGTCACTATTCTTGTTCTAATTCTGTTCACTTTCTTGTCAAGATTCTGCCGTGTCTTCTGCATGTTTTCTTTGGAAAATGCCTTTTTGATATTATCAATGCGCTCCCTGCCTGACTTTCTAAGCCTGGCAGATTTGCTTTCTTCGACATAATATTCTTCATCTGAAGACAGATCTATTGGAGGGTCAAAGACATCATCATCGGTCTCTTGATTCTCAGTTAGGCTTCTGTCTTTAACAATAGACAGGGATGTCGGACACCGAGTCTCCTCCTGAAGGAGAGAAAAAGAAAGCACGTTAGATACCAGTTCTTTTACCTTCTGGCCATGCCTTTTCCATCTCCTCCATGGGCTGTGCACCCTGTCTGCTCCTTAACTGTTGGTTTTTCTCAGGGTTTCTCTCTCCTTGTCTCTCATTGCTTCATTTCCCAAGCTCAACTGGAGCAACCTGATCCACTCCTCTGCTTTCAGATCCAGTGCTAAGCAAACACCAGTTTTTATCTTCACCTCTCCCCTTCTCCTAAGATGAAGACACAATTCTAAATGACAAACAGATGTTACCTCGATGTAACAGAGACACCTCAAACTTAACATGTCCAGGAACGCCTGGGTGCCTCGGTTGGTTAAGTGTCCGACTCTTGGTTTCAGCTCAGGTCTTTTTTTTTTTTTTTAAAGATGTTATTTATTTATTTGAGAGAGCAAGTGAGAGAGAGCTAGACAGCACAAGCAGGGGGAGGGGCAGGGGGAAAGGGAGAAGCATGGGGCTCGATCCCAAGACCCTGGGATCATGACCTGAGCTGAAGGCAGATGCTTAACCAACTGAGCCACTCAGGCACCCCTCAGCTCAGATCTTAATCTCAGGGTCATGAGCTCAAGCCCTGCTTTGGGCTCCACGCTGGACATGGAGCCTACTTAAAAATAAATTAATTAAATAAAAATAAAAATAAACAAATAAAATTTAAAAAAGCATGTCCAAAAATTAAGGTCCACACAGCATCCTCTCCACAGCTGCTTCTTTTCCTGGGCCTCTCAGCACCAAGCCCCCTCTAGGTGTCACCCAAATAGAAATCTCAGAATTTTCAACCCAAGTATTTCCTCTCCTTCTCATCCCATATCCAACAGGTCACCAAGCACCATCGATAACACTGCTTAGTAACTCCTGCCCCTCCTCCTTCTTTCTTGCCTCTACCAAGGTCTTAATTCAGGTCTCTGTCATCTCAAGCCTGAACTTTTGCAATAATTCGTCTACCTCCAAAGCATCACCTAAGTACTCCACCCCCAAAATACTAGAACTCATGCAGCAATTCAGTAATGTGGCAGGATACAAAATCAATGCACAGAAATCAGTTGCTTTCCTATACACTAACAATGTAACTGTAGAAGGAGAAATTAGGGAATCGATTCCATTTACAATAGCACCAAAAACCTTAAGATACCTTGGAATAAACCTAACCAAAGAGGTAAAGGATCTATACTCTAGAAACTACAGAACAGTTATGAAGAAAATTGAAGAAGACACAAAAAGATAGAAAAACATTCCATGCTCATGGATCGGAAGATTAAACATTGTTAAAACGTCTATGCTACCCAGAGCAATCTATACCTTCAATGCCATCCCGATCAAAATACCAATGGCATTTTTCAAAGTGCTGGAACAAACAATCCTAAAATTTGTATGGAATCAGAAAAGACCCAAATCACCAAGGAAATGTTGAAAAAGAAAACCAAAGCTGGGGGCATCACATTGCCTGATTTCAAGCTATATTAAAAGCTGTGAGCATCACATTGCCTGATTTCAAGCTATATTACAAAGCTGTGATCACCAAGACAGCATGGTACTGGCACAAAAACAGGGATATAGACCAATGGAACAGAATAGAGAACCCAGAAACGGACCCTCAACTCTGGTTAACTAATCTTCGACAAAGCAGGAAAGAATAACCAATGGGAAAAGGACAGTCTCTTCAATAAATGGTGCTGATGGGGCGCCTGGGTGGCTCAGTCGTTAAGCATCTGCCTTCGGCTCAGGTCATGGTCCCGGGTCCTGGGATCGAGCCCCGCATCGGGCTCCCTGCTCAGCGGGGAGCCTGCTTCTCTCTCTCCCACTCCCCCTGCTTGTGTTCCCTCTCTCGCTGTCTCTCTCTCTGTCAAATAAATGAATAAAATCTTTAAAATAAATAAATAAATAAAATAAATGGTGCTGAGAAAATTGGACAGCCACATGCAGAAGAATGAAACTTGACCATTCTCTAACACCATTCACAAAGATAAACTCAAAATGGATGAAAGACCTCAATGTGAGACAGAAATCCATCAAAATCCTAGAGGAGAACATAGGCAGTAACCTCTTTGACATCGGCCACAGCAACTTCTTTCAAGATACATCTCCAAAGGCTAGTGAAACAAAAGCAAAAATGAACTTTTGGGACTTCATCAAGATAAAAAGCTTCTGCATAGCAAAGGAAATAGTCAACAAAACAAAGATGCAACCCACAGAATGGGAGAAGATATTTGCAAATGACATTACAGATAAAGGGCTAGTATCCAAGATCTATAAACAGCTTCTCAAACTCAACACCCAAAAAACAAATAATCAAGTCAAAAAATGGGCAGACATGAACAGACACTTCTCCAAAGAAGACATGCAAATGGCTAACAGACACATGAAAAAATATTCATCATCATTAGCCATCAGGGAAATTCAAATCAAAACCTGGGAAAAATTTCTAAAGCATAGCTCTGATCACATCCTTTCTCTACTTTAAAACTTTTGGGAACTCACCAATACTCACAGGAGAGAGTCAGTTCTTTAATATGATTAGAAGGCTCTTCAGTTTAAGCTAAACCTACTTTCCAGTCCAGCAACACACAACCACTCTCTGCTCCTCAAACACAGTGTTTTCATCTCTCCATGTCTTTGTATATTTTTTACTACCTTTTTTTTTTTTTACTTCTTTTAATGCCTTTCACCCCTTTCAGCTCTGTCAACAAAATCTTCAAGAATCAATTCAAATGTCCCCAACTTCCCCCCAAGAAGCTAATTCTTTCTCCAATTTACACCAGAATGACATGTACACACCTCTACTTACAATACTTAATCACTGTTTGAATTGAATTGGAAATCTACTCATTTATATACTGAGGCCTTCACTAAATAATAGGTTTGATGAAAGCAGAGATGTGTCCTATGTTTTACACCCAGTATCTATCAGAGAGCCTTGTACATAGTAGTTATACTCAATAAATGAATGTTCAATCAAATAGGGTATACACGTTCATTCAACAGTTTCTAAGCACCTACAATGCACCAGTCAATGTTCTAGGAACTGAGAACCTCCTGAGAAGAAAAGAGTAAAAGAGCTTATATTCTTGAAGAGAGAGAAATAAACAAGTTTAATATATAGTCTGTTGAATGGTGGTAAATGCTAAGATGAAATATAAAGTAGGGAAGGGGGATATGCAGTGACTAAGGAAGATGCTTAGAAAGTCCTCACTGATAAGATGACATCCTAGCCTAGACCAGAAGGTAATGCATATATTTGGGAGGAAAACCAAAATGGGCAAGGAAGGCGGCGGTATGGCAGAAGCAGAGAGGAAAGAGGATTAGAGAGGTAGTGGGAGGGCCAGCTCATGTAGGGTTCTGTATCCAATAATAAGAACCATGGCTCTTATTCTGAGTTTGATAGGAAGCCCTTTTATTTTTTTTAAGGATTTTATTTGTTTGAGAGAGGGCGCGCGTGCGCTTGCGCAACTGGGTAGGGGAGGGGCAGAGAGAGAAGCAGACTCCCCTCAGAGCAGGGAGCCCAATGTGGGGCTTGATCCCAGGACCCTGGGATCATGACCTGAACGGAAGGCAGACACTTAACCGACTGAGCCACCTGGACGCCCCTGCTTCCACATTTTTATAATGAAAATTCTTTTCACTAAACTGGTGCCCCTAATAGGAAGCCCTTTTAAAAGTTTTGAGAATAGTGACATGATTTGACCCATGCTGTAAAAGGATCGCTCTGGTGAAAACAGGCCCTAGGGCGTGAGATAAGAAGCAAGGAGAGTGCTTGGAGACCCCTGAGGTAAGTCAGATGAGAGATGCATGAGGATGCTGGCAGAGACCATGATGAGAAGCAGTCTGATTTCAGATCTCCTGGGATGGTAGGCGCTAACAGGACTTACTGCTAGATTTGTATGTGGAGTATCAGAGTCAAGGACGATTTTCAAGTACCTGGCCTGAGCAGCAGAAGGATGGATTTCCCATTAACTGACATGGGGAAGAAAGCACAACAAAGAGACTGGAGGGTAAGGTTGGGATCCAAGATGTCAAGTAGGCAGCTGGGTATATAAGCCTGGAATTCAGGAAAGAGGTCTGGACTAGAGATATAACTTTAGGAATCATTAATGTCAAGAACTAAAAATCATGAAACCAGATGAAGGAGACTCCTAAGAGATTGAGTGAATGGGTCAACACTCAATGTTATCCAAACTTCTTGGGGCCAAGGTAAATTTCAGAATTCAGAATATTCAGAATATTCAGATTTGGGGAAAAAATATATTACACTACATTCCCAGTCAGACCTTGGGAAGAAACAATTCTGTGAAATAATTATGAATATTCACTCTAAGGTGGGATAAACAGTATAAACAGCCTTGTGCTATTTCTGGTCAGTTTTGTCACCAATGGGTTCAGGTCAACCCGAGGTCTTGCTACCAGTATGTTATGGAAACTTCTTTAGAAATTTTTGGATTTTGGGGTTTAGACAGATAAATGGATTTTGAACCTGTAGGTAAAAAGGAAGAGATGAGAAAGAACTAAAAAGGAGAAATATCGGCCAGCAAAGCAGAAGGAAATCCAAGACAGCAGCACCCCCAAAGCCAAGGAAAAAGAAGTTTCAAGAAGAGAGGGAGAGACCAACTATGTCAGATGTGTCAAAGGATAAGGATGAGAATTTGATTTGGGAACAAGGCAGACACTGGAGACCTTGCAAACCAGCCCAGAAACACAGCTGCTAAAGAAACCCAAATATTTAGGGATTATTTCTAAAACTAAACAGGCAAAACTTTAAGGATCATGAGATTTTTTTAAGGGAACCCATGAGTTAAAATTTCTAAAAGAAACTATGCTCCTATTTGAGATCCAGATTAAATCTGTTCAGTCAAAAAAATTAATATGTAAGAAATAGGTTTATTCCAGGGGCACCTGGGTGGCTCAGTCGTTAAGCGTCTGCCTTCGGCTCAGGTCATGATCCCAGGTTCCTGGGATCGAGCCCCGCATCAGGCTCCCTGCTTCGCAGGAAGCCTGTTTCTCCCTCTCCCACCCCCACCCCCCGCTTGTGTTCCTTCTCTGGCTGTCTTTCTCTCTGTCAAATAAATAAAACCTTAAAAAAAAAAAATAGGTTTATTCCAAAACCCATCAGCCTAACAGTCAAGAAGGTCCTTGGAACCTTAATTTCTTTGGATACTTGCTTAAAATTAAATTCTTTGGCTACAGGATTGGAGAGTCTAGCAGCTTAAAAAAGAAGAAAAGGCAGGTGGGCATCTCATAACTCTCTGATGAATCAGTGAGAGGCAGCAAAATTATTCCTCTCCTTTCCTGACACCTGCTACATGGAGTAGCTTCAGCAACACCAAGTGGGTTGGTATGGCCTGAGAAGGTATAATTAGAATAGGAAGGAGCCAAAGAATAATTACTGCTTAGTAGGGGGAAAACCCTCACAATCTCACTATGAAGGAATAAGACATAGCTTAACTCAGGAATCATACACCCTTTTTTTCAATTGCACGAATTATACAAAATCACACTTAAAAACAAAACAGAGGTAGTCAGAGAAAGTACTTCTTACATGAATCTCTTTGTTGCAATTCCTACTGAGTCAGAGATACCATGAGTTAATGATGAATATACTGTAATAATAATTGAAGATTATGGGGTTGAGTTACAGCTGATTTTCAAATAATTATTATATATCTTTTTTAAAGATTTTACTTATTTATTTCAGAGAGAGAGCAAAGGTTGTGAGGAAGGGAGTGGGAGAAGCAGACTCCCCACTGAGCAGGGAGCCCAAGCCGGGGCTCAATCCCAGGACCCTGAGTTCATGACCTGAGCCAAAGGCAGACACTTAACCAACTGAGCCACCCAGGCGCCCCTTATTATATATCTTTTTATGTAAAAGTCCAGGTAAAACAATTTTTGTAACAAAGCGAGTACTATGGTCAGAGTAAAGTGGCTCTTATTGAGTATCAAAGTAACCTAGCTAGGGGACTTATGAATATAGAGAAGTCCAAGGCTTATCATTAGGGAATGGCCAAATATCTCATTTGGTAACTGCAGGCATGTGGTTTGTAAGCAAAATTGCTAGAAGAGATGGTATGACTGTTGGCTCTCATGAGGAGGTCATTAAGGTGAAAGTATGTTCAAAGAGAAATCATAATTGTATGAAAAAGAGAAGATAATTTTTTTTAATGCCAATGTCCAGGATTAGGTGAAAGTTCCTGTGGGAGATAAAATGCCAATAAAGACTACCCCCAAAAATGTATCCAGGGAAAACTTTTTGAGGAAAAATCCAAGTGGAAATAAAAGTATACTACAGCTGAATTACACCAGCTTCAAGTTAATTTTAATAGAACAGGTGATCTCAGTGTAACCACTTATACATATTAACTGTGAGAATGAAGTATAAGAATGAATTTTAACTAAATATAACCATGTGCATACCGTACAGTGTTCTAACAGCTAATGAATCATCAAATCCATTGTTATTTGCCATCATCTTTTCTCTACAAGCTCTACCATTATAAAAGACAGCAGCTGCTTATGGACAAACTGCTGCTTCCTCTGAACAACGTAATTTCATAGAACCTTCACAGCACTGTATCCTACAAAGAACAAGATCTGACTTAAATTAGCACCTCTCAGTAGCTTTTTCATACTATCTTCTACTTGTTCAACTCATTATAGAAACTCAGAAAAAAAAATAGCAAGTTTCAGGGAATAAACAGGTGAATATAGAAAACAATCTTAACTGTAAAAAAAACAAAAATTATGTCTATAGACAAGAGTCGATTAGAACTTTTCAGAAACTTCTTTCCTCTAGCCTTTGTAGATCTTGATTGGTACCTGGTCCACTCTTTGCACAAAGGTTCTCAGGAGAAATGTTAGATACCAAGAATGTTTCCTGGCATGCCCCATGCAAGTGAAGGGTGCAACATAACCCATTCCTGCTAATGCCCCTGGAAGGTGAACTGAAGAATGGATCCTACATTCTCTAGTACCAAATCTAGATCCCCATTATATACACTAACCCTGGGACTGGCCTCTTTTTCTTAAATAAAACAGGTTTTTTTTTTTTTTTTTTTTAAAGATTTTATTTATTTGCGAGAGAGAGAATGAGAGACAGAGAGCATGAGAGGGAGGAGGGTCAGAGGGAGAAGCAGACTCCCCGCTGAGCAGGGAGCCCGATGCGGGACTCGATCCCGGGACTCCAGGATCATGACCTGAGCCGAAGGCAGTCGCTTAACCAACTGAGCCACCCAGGCGCCCAAATAAAACAGGTTTTTAAAAACAGATCCCAAATACTACTCTGCCATCCCAGTGTAACTTTATCAGTCAACAGAGTACAATGGAGACTTAAAGTGTAGACAATGCTGTGGAGAATTATGGCCCACATCCCTCATGTCTTATAAATATCTGCCTACATAATCCAACTGTATTCCTATTTCATTTTGTTTTTACTCTTCGAAGGTTTTTTCCTATGCATAGGGGTATCCATCCATTTTAAAAATACACTGTGATTGTGTGTGTGTGTGTGTGCGTATACAGTGAATATCCCTGCACACATTCCTGATTTTATGCTTAGAAAAATTCTTTGACATGAAATTTGGGGGCCATTTGTGAAGGTTTGTGAAGGTTCTTAATAACATACTACCAAAACTTCCCTCCAGAAATGTTATGCCAGTTAATACTCCCACCAGAATATGAAAGTGCTTTTTTTTTTAACCCTTAAACTCTGAGTATATGTTTTAATAACTGAAAATACTTAAATAGGCAAAAATGGAATTCTGATCTTTTGTCTTTTATGAACAGTCTGATAACGACTTTCCTGTTTTTCTACCACAGGGGGAAGAGTTCAACTTTTCCCTTTTGTTTTGTAAGAGTCTTAAAATATATTACAGATACCATGCATTTTGCCATGGATGTGTTCCTATTTCAAAAAATATGAATGCCAAACGCAGAGTAATATAGGAATGTAGCGCAATGCACAATGCCACACTAAAACAGCTATATTAACTAAGCAGAGTCAAAAGACTGAATCATCAGAAGCAATTACTTCTATGACTCCAACATTTGTAAAACTGTAACAACTATAAAAACACCTGCCTGATTATTCGTTAAGAAACAGTTTTTCTGTAACCTACATATTACCACATGCAAAAAATCCAACAGACAAATAATATTCCGAAGAGTTTACATTTTACGGTTTAGAGCTTTTCAGGCTCTCCATGATAAAGCGGAAAACGACATTGTGGGACTACGGGTCCTCCATTTCTTTTTTTATACAACGAAGAGGTGTTTTAAACCAGAGGCTTCTTAGGTCTCTTCTAGAACTGATATTCTCAGTCTCCAAAAGGGCACCATGCTAAGATGGCTAATATGCTGAAAGAGCCGTACCAATATTAAGTTTCAAAGGCAAGAAATAGCCTCAGCTATGATCCACAGTTCCTATTACACAAAATAGTTGAGAAACTCCACGTACTGATAGGATAGCACATTAGTCAACACAGAAATGGCTTTATCCTGGGATTCTCGCTGATAAAGAACTCCACTCCATGAATATATACAATAGTTAGGATGTGATGCTGGAAAACTCATACGACTGGTTGGCAATTCAAGGATGTTAAGATTTTGCAATAATCAGACCAAACGCAGGTGGCAAGCTTACCTGGAATATGACCACACGAAATTTGTTTTTCTTCATTATTTCCTCTTGCTTGGATTCAACTTTTTTCACGTGAATTTGCTGCCTCTCTACCCGGGCCTTCACGTCTTTAATGTGAGCACTGATTTTTCGCGTTTTCTCAAACAACTTGTTAATGACGTAGGCTGTATTGCTGTGTGACTGTGAGAGCTTCAACAGGTCAATCTGGACGGACTTTACGGCATTTCCCATTTCCCTGTGTCTCTCCTCTAGTCTCTTCTGGCTTGCCTGCACGCTGTCCACGATGGTGGCTACTTTGTCCAGCACGGTCACAATGGTGAGAGCAGCGTCTTGGTCTTCATCTTCTGTAACGCTCGACAGGCGATTCTGGTGGATTTTATCTGCATTTGAAGCTGACCCATTATGTTCCATTTTAGTTATTTCTCAGTGAAAGATGTCCCGCCACAATCAGTTCTGGCGCTAAGAGTAAAAAGTTAGCTTGGTAACAGGCAACAGGGTTGTTTAAAGGGTTGGAAACCCCACCCCTGGAGACTGGTCAAGTATTTATAACTACAAATACCCACACATGACTGTTCTGCAACATGAACCCTTGTAGAGCACTGGGTACTGTTCCAAACATGCTTGGCGACTGACTAATGGACTCAAATAAGTCTGTGTGGAGAGAAGAGGAAAGCTTTAAAAAAAAAAAAAAAAAAGTTCCCCGAAGCCGCCATGTTACTAATATTAAGCCTAGAAGCCAAATGACCAGAAAAGCAAATGCTGCATGTTGGGCAAAGCTTCTGTCTTTAAATAATTTCAAGCAGTATTTGCAAAAGCAAAGGGGAATTTTGAACTGAAATCTTTTCCTACTTACTTCACATATTAAATGTACTGATTTATCAATAGGAAAGAACGTGGTAAATAAACACACCAAAACAGAGGCCATATAGTGAAAACATTATATTATAACATGCTTTTCCAAACCAAATATTAAAATTAATATTTAATTTTGAACATATTCTTAAATTCTACATGCATATATCTAAACTACAAGTTAAACAGCTGAATACATTCTACTCACACTTCAGATCTTTAAACACCAACAACCTATTAATACAGCTATTACTACAGGACAAATTTGGATAGAGGTCTTAGATAATTTTTAAGCTCACCTTAAGAGCACCAATCATTAACAATCATTTTTGCATTTTACTCACAAACACAGATACACTTTGTTTATTTATGTTAAAACAAATATTTTCTTAAAAACGAATGTGTATCAAGGTAGTTTAACTGATAGAGAAGGCTTTATTCCCATCTGTTTGTTAAACAGACTATTTTCACAATATCTAAAAATCTACTTTCCAGTGATCTGTTCCATCTTTGCTACCAGATACTTTTCCGAATTATCAGAATTATTTTTTCAAAGAGAGGAATAATCAAATTCCAATCCATACAACTTACAAATATTTTACATCTAACACACACAACTTTACAGTTCATGCGATAGGCAGTGTCTAAAAAATCAGTTACTAAATCTCAAAAACATTTAAATGTCTATTTAAACACAGTGTCTTCTAGATTTTTTTATCTTTTTTTTTTGTAAGAAAAGTAATCTGTAAACATCTTTACCTTTAGTTCATGCTTGGTCATTTGTTGTGGTCATTGTGGAAGAAGTGGGTATGACTTTATAACCATTTGTGAAGTGGTCCATCTTTGCAAAAATATTACATTCCATGGGTAAAGAACAAGTCTTAGAATTACCATGTGGTATAAATTTGTGAAATCAATTTCTGTATTTAAAAACATAAAACAAAGACTACTAAACAGTCCAAAACTGTTGTAGCTGAATATTCTAAATACGAGCCAACAGTACTACACTAAAAATGTCCAAAAATAAGGCCTCTGAAATAAATATTTCCATTCTTTAAAAAAAGACATAATAAATGTACATCACATGGTTAGTGTACATATAAAAGTCATCAGTTTAAACCATTCTGGATGACGTATCTGAAGTAAAATGACCTAGGTTTTGCTTCTGTCGCCGTCCTCTGTTGTTTTTAGGGCATTTTCTGTTGAGTTAAAAAAAAAAATAAAGAAAAGAAAAAGGTCATTTTGTTTAAGAGATTTCAAATGTTTCCAAAGTAATACACGTTTCACACACAAAGCCATATTAGGAAAGAGGATGCTGTTTGATGCAAGACAAGCTGAGGACCAACATGTCAGACTGCTGTCTTCCCTACACAGCTGGGAGGTGAGAGGGTTAGGTACGGGATGCAGGTGTGAGCACAAGCAAAGCTCACTCCTGGGTCTCTATTGCTGCATATGCCTCCCTGAGAGGAATCCCCGCCCTTCTTCTGACCTGGCAACTCCCTAGCCACAGTGACTGATAACACATAAACCTCGAACAGTAAAAAGGATCCTGGCCTATGTGCTTTTCCTGAGCATTAGGACACCCCCAAAATGACAAGAACAGCTTGGATGAAGGAGTAATTAGGAAGAAGTGTGCATGCACAGGAATGAATACGTAGGAAATGCTTAGTGATTTTAGACAATGACTCAAAAGAAGTTGTTCCACAGCCTGCTTGAGCAAACCACAGAACCCAATAAAGAACTGTCACGCCGGGGATAAGGGATAGTCCTTGACTCTGCTCTCATTTTACCGTACCTGTTTCTCCATGGTGGTATAAATCTCATTGTGTTGTACCCGCTCTTGTGTCTGCCCACTAGAATGCAAACACACGAGTGCTGTGGTATGCAACGTGGAACAAAGGCACTGGGATCAATTCTGGTAATTTTGAGCTTGGGCTCTGCTAAAAACTAGCTGTGCAACACCCTTTTCCCATATATGAAATATTAAAAATTGAACCAACCTCTAAGATCCCTGCCAGCAAGGAATTTATAATCTAATGGAAAGAAAGTCTTGCAACAAGGAGTGCTCCTAAAGTTCCATGTTTTTAATTCAGTTTCAAAAAGCACTGCTTTGCTTGACTTAAAAAGCTTTGATGGTAACACTTCCATTTCATATACTGTATTTCATAAATTTTATCTAATTCTCACTAAAAACATTCTGAGGGAGACAGTGATAGAATCATCTCCATTTCATGGTTGAGAGGCCAAGCAAACCTCTTTAACTGTCACCAACTCACCATGACATTGGAAGAGTTCCAACTCCCTGGAGCCATGGTTTTGTCATCTATAAAAAAAAGGGGGTTTGGCTAGGGTAATGCTTGAGGTCCCTGCTATTCTATCATTCTAAGAGTGTAAAAATATGAAAGAAGATTCCAAGCATAAAAGAAGAAAGTTTTACTCATGCAGTTTTGATACATGAGTCAGTGGGAACATCCTTTTAAAGGGAGATTCCTCACATGGGACAGCCACCATGGTATAAGTGAACAGCTGTCCCATAACGGACTATGTGGGAGAGGCACTCCTTAAAAATTCAGTGGAGCTAAGTCCAAGTACATGATTATAATATTCTAAATTCATGAAGCAAAACATTTGAGGGGAGAAAACACCACAATAAGAAGACAGGCTGCCAGGAGAAATGTAGGATAAATTCAACAAGATGGCCCTTCAGTCACGGAGACGATGGGCAGTGAAGACAGTGTAACATGGTTGCAAAAACACTGTGATGTTCAAAGTGTCTGTGAAGGTTGCAAATGGATCTGGGATATCAGCTAGAAGGCACGGACTTGAAAACTATCTATCAGGTAATTTTAACTTAGTAGAATTAGAATTTAGAAGATTATAGCACACTGAGAACAGAAGCAAAGAGCTAGATAAAAGGCTGGATTAGGATTTGTAAAAGGGCTTAACTATCTCCCTGATCTTAAGTAAGGTATTTCCCCCATCCAGGCTCTCAAGTTTCCTTACTTCTCTAGAACAGAAGGGGTTGACTCAAAGTTGCTTCCTGCTGACTCAACCATCCTCTGATCTTCTTAAAGATGACACTATCACCGGGCCTCAAAAGCCTCCCTCATCTTTACCTTATTTCTTTCTCTCACCCTCCATATAAAGCCTCCCTCATCTTTACCTTATTTCTTTCTCTCACCCTCCATATAATTCATTACTCCACTCCAGCTTTCCTCGAATAATGTCCTATATGGTTCCCCTGACCTCCAGTGAAATTTTGCAGATGACACTCAGATCAATGCTCTGAAAAAAATGATTCATACCAAGTCGTCCCCCTGACTGTTCAAAAATCAAGTCTGAACCTTGCTCCCACGCAATGGTCATACCTGGCAAATAATTTTCTGAGATGACTCAACATGGACCCTCCTCTTGAAGGTTCAGTGGAAAGAGGAATGCTCTGGAAATAAGGCAGCACTGAATCCAAATCCAGGCACTTCCACTTACTAGTTGGATGACCACAGGCAAATTACTTAACTTCTAAGCCTATATTAAATGGCCACAGGCAGCCCTGCTGTTATATGGGTTTCTTCTATTTGCCCTTTCTGCTGTCATTATTTTTTAATCATTTCATCCCTATTTTAATCTACTGCCCAATTTTTTTTAAGATTTTATTTATTTGACAGAGAGAGACACAGCATAGAGAGGGAACACAAGCAGGGGGAGTGGGAAAGGGAGAAGCAGGCTCCCCGCGGAGCAGGGAGCCCAATGCAGGGCTCGATCCCAGGACCCTGGGACCGTGACCTGAGCCAAATGCAGACGCTTAATGACTGAGCCACCCAGGTGCCCCATCTACTGCCCAATTTTATACTCAATAGTCTTGCCTAAGGGCAGATCATCTGTCCTGTGGAATAAAGTCCACTGAGAGGGCGCCTGGGTGGCTCAGTTTGTTGGGTGTTTGCCTTCAGCTCAGGTCATGATCTCAGGGTCCTGGGATCAAGACCCACGTCAGGCTCCCTGCTCAGCGGGGAGCCTGCTTCTCCCTCTCCTCCCTGTTCCTGTTCTCTCTCACTATCTCCATCTCTCTCTCTCAAGTAAGTAAATTAAATATTTTAAAAAAAGCTACCAATTTAAAATTAAATAAATAAAGTCCACTGACTTCAGCACCTTAATTTTATGAAAAGTACCTGTTACTCAGAGAACATTTTTTTTTTATAATTTCTAGATTTATCATTTCAGCTCCAGATGGCTCAGAGTACTGAAGGTCTGGCTTCTATCCAGATCTTGGATAGAAGAGTCATAAATCCATTATGGCCTGCCAATATCTGTACTTGATATGCTCCGATCCTCTGCCCAGAATAATGCAGAAAAGTGCAGAGATGATGTTGATGGGACTTCTGAACCAAATCTTAAAGGAGGTATGAAGAGCCATGCAAGAAAAAAGATATGACACTGGGAAGCAGAAAGACAATACGAACTGGATTTAGTTTGACTTTTCTTGGGCCCAGAATTGGAATTATACATTTCCACTCAGTTTGGAAAACACCCATTTTATGCCCACTGTAATCCAAGTATGTCTTTTAATTTGGAGTTTAGTCATGATAAATGCCAACTGTTTTAGTTATGATGGAGAATTTTAGAGATGACTTATGATTGTATCCCAGAAAACGAAGTAATGTT